TATCGTGTTCTGAGATCTACCTGTGCTCATGAACGAGAATATGGAATATAATTTAGACTTGCCCTTAACTTTTTTAAAGGGAAGGGAACGTATATGGCGGAGTTATGGTATAGTACACGTAGTACTTAGATGGCAGTCAGGTCTCTTAAATTGTTTGGTTGAAAGTTCCCTACTTATTTTTAAATGTAATTTTTGTGTTTCATGATTGTTTAGCACTTATCATTTCTGGACATAATTTCCTTGAGTTTATTCTTGACTGTTGATTAGGATTCTATGGATTGTAGAGACTCCTGGACGGAATTGTTTGATGTTGTGATTGCTAAGGCCAATAAACCGCAATTTTATACATCTGAGCATCCATTCCGGTTTGTATCCCTTACATGTAATTTTATCATGTGATATGGAGCTTGTTTTCTATTCTAACTTAATTCTTCTTATTCTGATTTTGGTCTATTTTTTAGTAAAGGATACTTGGGAGTCACATTGTGCTATAGGCCTTTTATTTTTTTTTATTAAAAACATAATAAAACTGACTTCGGGACGAGATCATTTAAATGTGGCTTTATTTAGGATTCAGTGATTGAAGAACTGGTAGAAACAAATAATTTTCCTGACATGTAGCTAACGTGGATATTTTCTTTTGCGAATCATTTTTGGCTAATTATTTATTTTCATTATTATCTCTTTGAATTTATATTCTTAAATTTTGAATTTTTTGTAAAGGTCCTGAAACCTGCTCTTTCACGCAGTTGTTACGACACGGAGAAGGACACATTAACTTTTACCAAGGTTGATGAATTTCTTCCAGGTAAAATTTATTATCATGGATGCCTGAAATCCTTTCTCAGAATAACCAAGTGGAACGGCCCAGAGGTATGCTTTATTTGATGTCTGATAATAAACCATTGTATGCAATATTTCCATTTACTTACATGAATTTTACGATTATTGTTAATTATAAAACAAATATGGAATTTGACATAAATATTTTTTCACATGGAATCCCTAAATCCTAATATTCACATTTTTAATTAGGTGATATATTTTGGAGATCATCTATTTAGCGACTTGAGAGGGCCATCAAAGGCAGGTTGGCGTACAGCAGCAATCATCCATGAACTAGAGGCATGTGTGCCATCTAATCCATTTTCTCGTAGATTTTAGAGCTTGCTTGTCATTATTTCTCATGACTTCTGATAAATAGATCAAAGTTGGCATTCCTCCTTCTGTGGGTTCTTAAATATGACTCCCTAGAAAACAGGCATGAAAATGTCGTATCATATTATGTTTGCTGAGGCCAAATATGTACAAGTTTAGATATTTTGTGTGGTCGGGCTTCCAACGAGGTTAGTTCATTTATCAGCATTCGTGATGGCTCTCATTATACTTGCCTGAGTTTGTGAAACTAAAATCTGAGTCTTAGATGAGCTGTATGTGTGAAACATGAACTCTGATTTACATAGGAGGCTCTCTCTCTTATCAGCCTGGCTTGTGAGTGTTGGTTCTCCTTATAAGTGGCACCAGCACTGTAGCTTGGTTTACCATTGCCAGTGTGTGTAGGCCTCTTGCTTACTTGTCCATACTGAGAGGTAGTGCAAATCCCCTAGTGGCTGGGTGTAAGACACAGAACTCCATCGGCAGTGAGTTCTCTCTAATAGAGAGGCTTAGCTTCAGTAAATAGTCACTAGGTTTTTTGCATCATTGTGCTTGTTTTGTTCTTCATTTATTATTATATTGTCTACTTAGACAATGACAATGACATTTATTTGCTTATTGTTGAAGATTTGTTTTTTTTTGGTCATTTATATGAAAACTGACCTTATCAAAAGTAAAATTTAATTTATCGTTCCTGTACGTGTGATGATGGTCGTTATGAATGTAAAAACAGTTGTAGTTGAGTCAAGTCTTTAATGTGTC